GACTTCTCTAGAACAGAACCAGAAAGTGGCAACCAGATCTGATGTGTAATTTCAAAATAAAAGCCTTTCAAAAAAGTCAATTTTTTATTGCCCCCCCTAAGTTGCCGTGCCCATTGCTGAGAAACTCTCTGTTTCCAAAGACTGCTACCACTTCTGGGTGACAGATGGACACCTCTAGAACAGAACCAGAAAGTGGCAACCAGATCTGATGTGTAATTTCAAAATAAAAGACCTTCAAAAATGTCAATTTTTTATTGTCCCCCCCCCCTAAGTTGCCGTGCCCATTGCTGAGAAACTCTCTGTTTCCAAAGACTGCTAGCACTTCTGGGTGACAGAGGGACTCCTCTATAACAGAACCAGAAAGTTACAACCAGATCTGATGTGTAATTTCAAAATAAAAGACCATTAAAGTAGTACTTTGGATCTGTTCCACCTAAGTTGCYGTGCCCATTGCTGAGAAACTCTGTTTCCATTTGTGCTAACACAAATTTATTAATTAGTTTAATTCCCTTGAAAGCATCTGAAACATATCACAAACTATAATGTGTCAACAACACCAGTTACACACTTTGATTTTAAAATTCAATGATAAAAACACATTATTCGACACAATATTTTATTGTTCTATGTTTGTAGTGGAAATTCACATTGAAAAAGTACACCCAAATACCGGTCACCCRAACAAGACAGTAGACCAGTTATCTTGGAGACCCTCCACYGCCTTCAGCTATCAGCCTGGACAAGAAAGGATATTTGGATTAAAGAAAGCTAATACAAAGCAAAGTAATACAACAACATGGACAAGTACTWAGATGAGTAAATTTCATCTTAAGACATTTAAAAACAAAGTAAAGAATTCTATTCAGCTGAATAATATTTCCATAAATCTGTCATTTGCATGTGATTTACATGCATAGGTGTTTTTAAATTTCACATATTTTTATTAAAAAATTAAAATGAAGAAATGACGTACCACACAACTGACAATTCCAGTCTTCTTCAGGCATTTTTTGAAGTTCATCTTCTGTGAATCCCATGCACTCCTCATGGAACCACCTTTCACAGGTGTCACATTGAATCTGAAAATCAAAAAAACGTATGCAATTGTATGAAAACAAATGAAATACTCTGTCTCTTTTGATCAATATTCTACTAAAGCAATGTATAAACCATAGTTTTCATTGAAATACATATTGAGAACTCAACACTGTAGATGGCTATTGAACCAACTTCACCATAGTAAAAATGAATTTTAACATTTTATTTAAATTTTAATCTATGTATTTAAATATGTTTCAAGTTTTAAGGGTTCAATAATTACACAAATTCAGTTCACATAAATGTGACAGAAAAAACTATAATAAACACCTTATGTAAAAAATACATAAGCGCATACATTGCACTTATTTAAAATATGATAATTTCATCATATTCTGTAAATGTACATCTCAGACAAATCATAACGGTTTGGTAACCTTAAAAATATTGAGAACGAGCGCTACAAACATCTGACCTAAATTAATATTAAAAATACATTTTTTCCCATTATGTGTTTTCATGCTGTACTACAATAGGTTCTACAATATGTAAAGCAGTTTCATGTTTCTGTCCTTAATAAGCTTAATTTAAAAAGAAAATACATTATTACGGTATGAAAGCTATTACAAAACATTTATCTTAACTACTTATCCTTGCAT